TCCTGTATGATTTAAGTAGTAAACTAAACAAACCAACCTAATCAAGAACAAACTGCTATTAAGACATGAAAGGCTAAGAAGGAAAGAAATGAAGTTAGCACTTTTTGGTGGGATCACAATGACCTGGTATCTGTATCAATGAAGTAAAGTTTTCCTCCACAGGGCTCAATTCATTTGCATCCTGTATAACTCAAGAAGCTTGTAGAAACTACTATCAAATCAAAACAGAGTGCTTTTGTGATGACAGTGAGCAACTACATGCAATGAATGGATGTAACTACTCTTACCAGGTATCAATAAAGCAACTTCTTAGGACTATTTTTTAAATAAATCAGTCATTTCGTTTTATAGAAATGAAAGTCATGACTGAATACTACACAAGATCTCTGCACATTTCAAGATTTCTGCTTTTATTTAAACAAGTACTGACAAGGGTTCCCATAACAAGTCAGCCTGCACTTACAAAGGGAAGAAACTCATCATAATGCATGCTTCAAGCAAATTATCATTCCCTTCTTTAATGGGCTGGATGAGAGCATGTCAAATACTGTAAGGATCTACATTACAGCCAAGCTTCTCCTCCCATTCTATAAGCATAGTGCCATGACTCCATCTTCCTTTTGGCAAAATGATGAGCAAACAGCACTTTTGGAATATTTCCCTGGTACCACAGTATAATTCAATAGCTAATCGGACCAAGTGAGGAATTTAGGGACTTGCTAGCAAAACCAAACAAAAGCACACAGCTTCTCCAAAAGCTCACTTAATACTTTGCTGGAGGAAACTTCTTAAAATGGATTTTTTTTTTTTTTTTAACTTTAAAAATGCAATACATAACTTTTACACAGCACAAAGCCATCTTCACAGCGAGGAGCGACTGGAGGTTTAACAATTACACAGGATACTAAGAACTCAGGCTAAATGTATGCATGGTAAACCTCAAATTTCTTACATAACCACACTTCAAAGGGAAATCAGACCCACAGTATAACAGTGTGTCCTTGGAAGGGGCAGGTAGAAAGAACGTCGTGTTTGCACTATGAATCAAGGGGCACATGGAAATGGACAAATCCCTTGGATTTCACTCTTTTTTAAAACAAATATATCCAGACTTTTTATGCAAGAAAAAGATGTTCTAATACATTTCCAAATCACACAAAATGCTTTGTTGCATAGGTAGGTGCTGGAGAAGTTTAACCTGTAAGTGAAACAGGAACAGCTGCACACTTCAGACAGTCAAAATCTAACCAGAACAATACTTGCCTAGCAATGCACAAGAACCTTGCTACCTTGCACAAGTACTTGCTACCAACAGCAGAGACCACAATGTCAGTGCTCGTTTTCAACTTAATACATATCAGCTTTACACCACGTTTTTGAGGAAGTCAGGTGATGAAGACACCTATGATCAAGTAATCTGTCAAAATGCCTAACTCTGTATGCATTTCTTGGTAACACTACTGAGAGAACACAGATGGAAACAAAGAACTGAAAGGGGCCTTCTCAGGGAGAAAAAAACAACAACAAACCAACAACACACAAAAAACCCAAACCCCACAAGTTTAATTGCTGTTATTACAGGCTATATGATCTCTCATTTTCAAACACAGTAAGTTCAGCCTGTATTACTCTCATTCAAAAGCTGCATTGTAACTTTGCTTTTCTATAATTCATTTATCATATCCAATCTATAGCTTGTCCAGTTCACATCCATTTGTTCTTGTGCCAGCACTGTCTTTTAGATTAAATAAGTATTTTTCCTCCTTATTTTTCACTTTCTGACATTCTCTTGGAATACACTCACGTGTAACGCAGTGGTCCAATGAATACTTCAAATACCATTAGCAAACATAATCAAGAGGAGTCTCGGATCATCAGCAGAGCTGTCTTCTGCAGACGAACTCTGAACAGAATCAGTGAACTGACTAGCAGAAAACCAAGCTAGCAGAAAACCAACTTACCAAAACAAAGCTTATTTTTTCATCACCTCAGTTCCCCATTTCAGTTCACCACAGAACTGCTTCTCCTTTGCAGCAGTGGAAAGGTGGCAGAGAGAAAAAGGGTAGAATACTCACTTAGTCACTGAAGTCACTGAAAGCATTTATCTGACTATAGCCTCAAAACTGACTTCATTAGCCTACCCAGCCTCTTCCAAGTCATCTTCCTTCTCTAAAACAGACGGTTCAAGGAGTGTCACTTCCATTTCTGGTAGTGGCAGAGATAATCTGAATCCATTTGTACAAAGGTTGGATCGGAATGTTTATACAATGATAAACATATTAATACTATTATGTTACAGGAAAACATGTTGCCCCCTTTCCTCCAAATCACTCCACTTTTGTGGCTTATCCTAGATCACATGCAGTCTTTTTTCCTCTTCCAGAGGTCTTCCAATGTTAATTCCTAAGCGTACATCCTTATTATTCATTCCTATTACGACTTCATCATGCATCCCTTTTCCACCATTGCAGTATTCATTGTTATCCAGCTGCATGACATCCCAGTCTTCTTTGTACCAGTGACTCCCCAGCTTTGGTAATCAGTGTTAGATTGGCCTGAGTACATGCTGCCATAGCCACTCACAACACCCCAAGTCAGTCTTGAGAAACACCACTGCAAGCATCTCTCAGAACAGCAGTTCTTCTTCTGACACAAATCTGTTGTTGCTTTATCTTCTTCATACTGATCCTTACCCGAGTTCTAGCTCTTGTACTAATTCTCCAGCATCTCCAGCTTCAAAAAAGATTTTGTTGTACTGCGAGATACATTATCAAATTCAAGGCAGATTAGAGCTACTACATTTCTTTTACAGATAAATTAAATCAATCATTAATTCCTATAAAAGATGCAGGCCAGTCAGGCATGAGCTATCTTTAGTGAATCCACATAGGCCTCACTCTACTTATTTTCATATTGTTAATTAAATTCTTGCCTTCACAAATTCTCTAGAGCCTTGCATGCTGCTGATGAAGCTCATTAGGCTGTGGCTGTGCATCTCCCTGCCTTCAGTTCTTTTTGGATAAACTGTATGTATTTCAGTAACAAATCTGTTTAGTCAGAGCTAGAACACATTTAGAAGCCTTGTTCTTAGTGCTCCAGTGTCACGGATGAATTCTTCTTAAATTCTGAAATGAGCTATCTGAATTCTTTAATCAAGCCAATGGAACTTCTGCTTTGCCTCCCCATCCCATCTTTATTCTCATGCTTGATATCATTACTTTCACTGAAAAAGATGACAAAGAATTTGTTTAAAATAATCTGCATATGATTGAAAGAAATAAGCCTCCCTTTCCGCTTACCAACTTCCCTCATCCAGTTCTTTTTACATTAATGTGCCTGAAGACTGCTGTAGTTGGCTTTCCTTCAGAAAGCCAGGCTGTTTGTGGCTCTAAAAAACGTACTTATATTCCTGCAGCTTTTATTCTGGTGACACTGCTACTGCTTCTCCCTCCCAAAATACCTTCCTCTGCAAATTCTCCTATTAATGTCTCAAGATAGAAAAACAGAAAACTTGAAGTTCTTCCCATCCATTTTTTGACAACACTTGAAAAATCACTTCTAAAACCATATCACTGGCTTCAAGGTACAATTCGATATTATTCATAGTTTTGGTTTGCTATTGCATCCAACCTGCATAATGTTACAAGTAGTACAAACTCAGATAAGACGAAAGCCACATCCACTTTTGTCTCCAACCTATGCTTTTTCTAAGTGGCCAACAAGGGCGAGGGCACCTTTATAGCTGTTCTTCCTAAGACACTCAATGGATCTTCATCTCTTAGCAGTATTTGGCAAGAAAGCAACTTGCTAAATATTGCAAACCTTGCAACCCAAGGTGATCTAATTACATCTGGAAACTGATCCCAGGAACAGATGCTGGATGCCTCGAGAAGAAAGGGTGCATGATAAAACCATGCAGATCTCTTGGAAAAATGGATTTAAGAACACGTACAATGAATGACCACTCCTCAGCTTTAGCCACTGTGATATGACAGTTGTTTTTTTTTTTACATGTTATCATCCTGAGCTTGTTTAATTTCCTGAATTATTAACAAATACTAATTTAACTCCTGGGTAACTTATACAAATATGATGTTCACATCAGAACAAATTCTCAGATAGCGAACACAGCATAAAATAATGCTTTCAGAACGCTTGTAAAGACAGAAAGCTCCATGGAAAAGACTGATCTGCCTTCTGTCACTCTCTAAAGAACTTCTAGAAATGCTGAAGCACCCTGCTGCAGCAGTGCTCCCTTATCTGGATTGCTTCAGTTCTCCAGCAACCAAAGTATATTGGACCACTTCAAAAAACCATCTGCTTAAAGAAAGGCTGCTAGTCCTGCAGACTCACTGCAGGTCGAGCCCAATCTTACAGTATCTGCTGTATAATAAAAGAGTGACATTGGAGACAAGCTGGGCAACAAAATCTGATTCCTAGGGTTTTCTTTCACTTTAGGAATGAAAAGACCAAGCATTCGGAGTTACCCTGGAGCTCCACAACATTTAAAAACAAACTAGCAATCATGTGATGAGAAGTTATTCATCATTTGAAAACTATTTGCTTTCCTGAGCACGGCGCTGCCTTCCAAAGCAGAGAACGCAATCTCCTCAGGTTCCTAGATTCTGCCCTGTCACACAACGTGCAACGACTGCAGAAGTTTAAACGTCAGATGCATCCCTTCATGTAAGACTTGAAAAAAAGAGTTTGAATTGGATAAAATGCAAAAAAAAAAAATCCTTCCTGCAACAGCCTCGCCAAGATTAAGTTGGAGAGCAAAGGAGGAAACGCAACGAGGGCACAAAACACCTACGAAACACAGGACACGGAGGGCCTACGGGACGCCGGCGGTGCACGGCTGTCGGGAGGCCCCGTCTCCTCCAGGCAGCCCCGCACGGCACGCTGCCGCCCGGCCCCGGCACCCCACAGCCCGCACCGGCGGCGGCTCGCCCAGCCCAGAACCGGGGCGGGCTCCCGGGGCCCAGCACCGCGCCCCTCACCTGGCAACCCTTCTTGTGATGGAAGCCCACCACCACGATGTGCAGCACTGGACCCCGCGGAAGGGCGGCCGGCGGCGCGCCCCGCTTCTCCATGGAGCCCGGCGATGGCCGCTCGGGAGGATTCCGCCCGGGCCGGGCTCTCGCTCCGCCTCCCGGTGCCGAAAACCGGAGGGACGGACCTCAGCCGACTGCGCTTCCGCAGCGCCCGGCGGGAGAAGGCGGGGCGGGGCCGCCCTCGTTCCCCTCGCCCTGCCCCCAGCCGCGTTGTGTCCCCCGGCTCCCGGCTGTACTCGGCTGCGAGGGGACCCGCGTGGAAAAGTGCTTGGTTTTATTAAAATTTAAGGGTGCTTTATTAAAATTCAAGGGTGTTTTATTAAAATTTCAGCAGGGTTGCTGCAGGCTGAGAAGGGAGAGAGAGAGCTTTTCTCTCTTTTAACTCGGAGCCCCGTGACAGTGCAGAGAGCTGCATCTGCACCCTGCCTCGTCTCGGGTGGAGGCCGAGCAGGCCCATGGCAGGCCGAGCTGGAGCCCGATATGATGTCAGTGCACTCTGGTTGCTGAACATCAATCAGCAAAATCGAGTTTGTGCTGCTGCTGCTTGTGCTGTTCTGTTAAATGTGTATTATGGTAACCTGAGAGAGATGGTTCAAAGGCTTATCTGAGAGCGAGTGCAAATTTAGAGAGGCAAAAATGAACGATCCTCACCTGCCTGCCCCCTGATCATGCTCCCTCATTAACCTTGGTGATTTGGTTCGGTTTGTTTAAACCATCAGCACTTAGCAGAGATTGTGCTCACGTCCCTCAGGTCCTCTGTGGAAATCAGAGGAAGATGGTCTTTTTGAAAAGAACTATAATAGAATAGTGCTCAGAGAAAATCTCATTGCTAACGCAATACACAGAGGCTCAAATTATAACAATAAAGCACGTAATTACGTATTGTTCCTCCGTTTCAACAAAGGTGCCATTATATATACTTTAGGGAGCAAAAGATAAGCTGCAAGGAATAATCCAGCACTGGCAACTGAATGAATTCTTCATGGTTTTATTCTGCAACTTACTTTCATGATATTTAATGTAATTTTTTTTAAAAAAAAAAGGAAAAAGGAAAAAAAGAACCCAACCTTATCCATTATCTCTCGCAGAAATGAGATAAAGCAAGAGAAGACAAATGGGAGTACTTAGAACTCATCCTCAGTTCATTAAATAAAGGGCAGACTAGCACTGCTCTCACAGCTACGGGTTTGCATTCCTGAGGCTTCTCCATGATACTGCTGAATAATGGTGGCTTATTGCTTCTCTGAATAGATGATTGGATTTTTTTCACTGCTTGAAATTTTCTTTCTCACTAAGGCAATAAAAATGTTAAATGTGGGACTGAACAGTGCGGGCCTGTTCCAGGAAAACTGATTGACAGCATCCTTCTTCACAGCTGACATGGTTGTTTTTTATGAAAAAGGAAGGAAGGGTAGAGCTGCAACCAAACAGAAGCTCTTAGAAAAGAAGTTCCTACTGGAGTTTTCTTCTCAATGTATATCTAATAGATATCAATAAAAATTCAGCCATATACCAGAGCTGCTCTAAAAGTAGTGCCTCCTGCTTTATTATGTTGGCCCATGATGTCAGAGGTGGATGTTGGTGGTATGGCAGTAGGGGTTGAACCTTCCTGCCAATATTCCTGCCAATATATTTTGTTGCTGTGTGACAGCTGGTAGCGGAGGGGCAGTCTGACCAAGTGGCATCTGACATGGAAGTGTATCTGAAACAAAGGTGTGGAACTGAATTCCTCTGTGTGGAGAAAATGGCACCCATTGGCAGCTGGGGCTGTTCAGCCTGGAGAAGAGAACGCTCTGGGGGTTCTGATAGCAGCCTGTCAATATAAAGGGGGGATATAAGAAAGAAAGGGACAAGCTTTTCAGCAGGGCCTGTTGTGAGGGGACAAAGGTAAATGGTTTCAAGCTGAAAGAGGAGAGACTTCAAATGGGTATAAGGAAAAATTTGTTTACAGCGAAGGTAGATGTTCAGAGGGCTGGAACACCTCCTATGAGGAAAGGTTGAGTGAACTGGCATTGTTTAGCTTGGAGAAGAGAAAGCTTCAAGGAAACATATTGCAGCCTTCCAGAACTTGAAGAGAGCATATAAACAGGAGGGGGAACGGCTGTTTGTGCGGGTGGACAGCGATAGGACAAGGGAGAATGGTTTTAAACTGAGACAGGGGAGGTTTAGGTTGGATATGAGGAGGAAGTTTTTCACCCAGAGGCTGGTGAGGCACTGGCACAGGTTGCCCAAGGAGGCTGTGGATGCCCCATCCCTGCAGGCATTCAAGGCCAGGCTGGATGTGGCTCTGGGCAGCCTGGGCTGCTGGTTGGCGACCCTGCACATAGCAGGGGGTTGATGATCTCTGTGGTCCTTTTCAATCCAGGCCATTCTATGATTCTGTGATTCTATGACCAGAGAGGTGGTGGATTCTGGAGGCATTCAAGATCAGACTGGATGGGACTCTGAGCAACCTGCTCTAGCTGTATGTGCCCCTGTTGACTGCAGGGGATTGGACTAGATAACCCGTAAGGGCTCCTTCCGACTCAGTTCTGTGATTCTATGGTTCTGTGTCAGCACAGCAGAGCAGCAGGCAAACCGGCAGCAGTGACTGTGGGTCACTTTCACTGGGGCAGATTCTAATGAGCACAGCATGCAGGCTCTTGCTCTTGGCTGGGGAAAATGCACAGCTAATGGTGGTGACTATGTTGAAAAACAGCTTTGTAGCTGGGAAGTTGCTCTATTGAGCAGTGTTATTGCACTCCTCCTTGGAAATAAATAGGAGGTGAAAATCTGGTAAAACACCATTAGAGGGGAGAAGCGGCGGCGGCGGCGGCCGAACGAGTGCTCTGCCGGCTGCTACTCAGGGCTGCGTCCCGCCCTCCACAGCCTCTACTTCGGCGGGAAGCGGCAGCGATTGCCCAGGTCTGGCGGCAATATGGCGGCCAACGCGAGCACCAACCCGTCTCAGCTCCTGCCGCTCGGTGCGCTGCGTTACAGGCGGGCTCCCGCGTGGGGTCGGGCGGGGAGGGAGGAGGGCCGTGACCGCGGTGGGGGAGGCCGTGACAGGGAGTAACTGGGGAAATACGTGCGGCGGGCGTAGCGTTGCCGTGAGGGAGCCGTTGCTCCCGGTCGGTCGGAGATGGTGGGAGCTGGAGCGTCGTACCGTGGCTCGGCCGCCTCGGAAGGCACCTCTGGGTCGATTGGGTTCGTGTAAATACACTGACGCACTTTATTGTTGTGGTTTTTACGTCTGCAGAACTTGTGGACAAATGTATAGGTTCTCGCATCCATATCGTGATGAAAAGCGATAAGGAGATTGTCGGGACGCTGCTGGGATTTGATGACTTTGTCAGTGTCCTTTGGTGGATGTTACCGGTGGGCATCAGCTTCGTGGGGGGACTCAGCTCGTTTATTGTTCACTTATATTAAGCTGTTTGGTGTCAGGTTTTGGTTTGTTTCTGTGTTTTTTTGTTTGTGTTTTTTGGCAGCTACAATCATAGTTCAGTGTAAAATAGAAATGAATTGCTCAACTCTGTTCTGCCCTTGTGAGGCTCCATCTGCAGCACTGCGTCCAGGCATGGGGTCCCCAGCACAGGGAGGGTGCAGAGCTGTTGAAGCAGCTGCAGAGGAGGGCCATGAAGGTGATCAGAGGGCTGCAGCACCTCTCCTATGAGGGAAGGGTGAGGGAACTGGGATTGTTTAGCTTGGAGAAGGCTCCAGGAAGACCTCACTGTGGCCTTCCAGTACTTGAAGAGAGCTTATAAGCAGGAGAGACTTTTTACGTGGTCTGATGGTGATGGGGAAAAGGGAGATGGTTTTAAATTAAAGAGAGGAGAGTTAGATTAGATGTTAGGAGGATTTTTTTTTTCAGTGAGAGGGTGCTTAGGCACTGACAACAGGCTGCCCAGAGAAGCTGTGGATGCTTCTGTTCCTGTGTACGAGGCCAGGCTGGATGGGCCCTGTGGCAGGATGATGTAGTGGGTGGCAGCCTACCCATGGCAGGGGGTTGGTCTTTATTGGGGACTGGGTGGGCTTTAAGGTCCCTTCCAACTTAAGTCATTCTATGGAAAGAAATCTGGACCTTATTTTCCTTGAAACTGAACTTTCAGATATGGTGTTAGAAGATGTTACAGAATTGTAAGTATTGCTTTTGCCTCTCGTTGCTATTTAAACTTGGCTTTCCTCAGAAAGAATGTGGTATAAGGTCTGTTCAAACACAAATACTTACAAACTGAGCAGTTTTTATCCTGGACCTAAACTATACAGGATGATCTGTTCAGGACAACCATGTCATAGAGTGGTTTTGCATGATTTATTTCAGTGAATGCTCAGAACCAAATTCCTAGTTTGTAACCTTAATTTTGCATGGGTTCTCTGTTGAACTTTCCAGTTGTGTTTTTTACATTGCCACAATGGCTAGTTAATTAATAAGTTGTCAGACTAAAGGACTAAATATTTTTTACCTTATGCAGCGTTGCTCTTTGAAACCTATTTTGAGGATCAGTGTTATTGAAGAAATTGCCAAGTTTTAGAGGGCAAATCTGTGTTTTTATGTGCTGAACAGAAAAGTACAACAAATTTATTTAGTTGCCAAGTGACTTTCCCTGCCTACGGGGTCAGTGTATCAAGATGATGCTGCAGTGTTATTCCCAGTAAATGTCATCTTAATATGTGGATTTGCATCAGTGCTGCAATCAAAACTGTAACCATTGCTGATGATTATATGCTCATATTTTTTTCTAATATTGCTTCAGTGAGATCACGCCTGAAGGCAGAAGAATCACAAAACTAGACCAGATTTTGCTAAATGGAAATAACATAACAATGGTAAGTCATCACTGCAAAAAGTCTGCTTGTGTTTCTTTTCTTTACCTGTAAATCTGTGATTGAATTCAACTACTTGAGCTACTTACCTAGTTTCCAAGGCATATGTCTTTATGAGTGATGCTGGAAATGTGATCTTATTGCTACATTTCATATATTTTACAGTTTAAAATGCATGACAAGAGGAGTGTGAGCATGACGACAATTTTATTTTGGTAAATGCATTTTTGGTTTTTAATAAGGTGTGTGAGGGAATCTTTGGAAGAGTCTGG